TTGGCTTGCAGATCACTCGGGACAGAGCACGCCGCACCATTACCTTGACTCAGTCACACATGGTGCAGCAGGTCCTTCAGCGCTTCGGCTTCACGTACTCCTCGCCTCAGGCCACTCCTCTGTCTACTCGTCACTCGCTCTCAGCTCTGCCTTCGGATGAGTCCGTAGAGTCGAGTGGCCCGTACCCAGAGCTTGTTGGCTGCCTCATGTACCTGTTGACCTGCACACGACCTGACCTTGCATACCCTCTTAGCATTCTTGCACGCTATGTTGCTCTTGGGAGACACCGACCAGAGCACATGGCTGCAGCGAAGAGGGAATTGCGCTACCTGTGCAGTACGTCGGGCATGGGGCTAGTGCTTGGAGGGCGGAGTCCAGTGGTCCTTACGGGCCACGCTGACGCTTCTTGGGCTGACGACCAGGCTACGCAGCGGTCGTCAAAGGGTTACACCTTCAGTCCTTGTTCCGGCTCTGTCTCGTGGCGGGCTACTCGTTCGTCTTCGGTTCTCAGCTCCAGTTGTGAGGCTGAGATCTACGCCGGGGCCATGGCTGCACAGGAGCTTCGTTGGCTCACCTACCTGCTGACTGACCTTGGAGAGCCGCCTCGTTCTCCTCCAGTGCTGTACGTAGACAACAAGGCCATGCTGGCCTTGTGTCGAGAGCAGCGTCTGGAGCACAGAACGAAGCACATTGCTCTTCGCTACTTCCTTGCTCGTGAGCTACAGCAGCGTGGACAGTTGCGGCTTGCGTATGTGGCCTCTGAGGCCAACACTGCTGATGTGTTCACCAAGGCACTCGCGCCTTGTGACCATCAGCGCTTCTGCACCCAGCTGGGTCTTGTGCCTGTCTTGCCTCACTTGCTCTCCTCTTGACTTTACTTGTACTGTGACATATATATACCTGCTCTTGCTTGTCTAGTTTTATATATATATGTCTGTACTCCTGCATGTGAACTGGCCTCTGGCCCTGCTCTTGTGCTCGGACTGTGTGGTGACTTTGTGATCCACCCTGAGCTTGCTTTGCTTTACTTTGCTTGACTGGTCTTGTGACCCCTTGTTCTCCCCCACTTTGCCTATGGGGGTGTGTCAGATATATATGACATAGCTGTTGTAGGCTATAGTGGGGTAGCACATATGGGGTACAGCTCTCTAGGGTTTGCATTTGTACCAAACTTTCACTTAGTCATTTCATTCCTGTTCTAGTTGTCTCACAGCCTGTATCCTGGTGTGAGTTGCCCTGCCCTAAAAAACTAACTCAACAAACTGTTTTGAGGGGCTGAAACACCAAATAACAAATCAGTTCTTCGCAAAACCTCGTTCTGTGGGGCAGTAATGTGAGGCCAGCTGACATCGCCTGGCATGGAATCTCTATCGCAAGGTGTGAAATGCCATCGTAAGGCGTGAAGTCATCATCGCCATGCATCAAGCCATCATTGCGACTGGAATTCATGTCAGCTTTGCTTCATTCCACTTCATTGCTCATATGGGGCTTTTTTTGTTTTGTTTTTTTTTTTCAAGAATGAGTCTGCACTCTAACAATGCAAATACATTCACAGTCAAAACTGGATTTTGGAGGGAAACAACAAACCCCAGCCTAGACTCAGGTGCCTCCCCCTTGCGCGTCTATGGTGGACAGTGGAAGGTCTTGGGGTTTTGCCATATGGATGGAAAATCTACCCTCCACGTGGCCCATTCCCCTGCCTCACTTATCCTCGCGATCGCCGCTTTCTCGTCTCCTGCCAGGCCGCCCCACGGGTCCCGTTGCTGCCCATGAACACCACCCCAGTTGTCTTCTTTGACCTTTTGGCTCTACAGAGGCTTGCGTGGTGCATGAAATCATAAATTGCCACCCGTGCCACCTTTTTCCATTGGAACTTCTCCTAGTACACCACATCCACCTTGACCAACCAGATTCTCCACATTGTCACCGCTGTTAATGTTGCTCCCAGAAAACCAGACTTCGTGGCCCCCTCCTGGAAAAACATCTCCCCTAGTGACCTCATCTGGTCCGCCGGGTCCATGATCCTCAGCGACCTCAGCAGCACGCCGATCACCAGCTGGATGACAGGGCAGGTGAGCATGCAGTGGGCTAGGGTTTCTGGCTCCCCACAATGCGGGCAGCAGCCCCTTGGGGCCCAGGAAGACCAGCCTCATCCCACCTGCAAGTTCTTGCTATGCATCCTCAGCACCACATCACGCACTCTGTAGGGTCTCGCCAGGGAGTCTCTCCTTTCCCTCTCCGCCTTCTAGTGGATTTTTCTTCCCCACTCTTTTTTCCATTCGTGTCTCTTTCTTAACGCCGTCACAGGCTCCGCTAACACCCTCCTTAGCTCCTTAGGCATCGCTGGCCTCATCTTTTCTCCCACCAGCAACGTTTGGCAAAGCCTGACACGCGGCTCGCCCATTGCCCCGAGCACCGTGCCTCCTTTGACCACCACCAGCACCACACTCTTGACGCGGAAGACGACCGCATACAGCCTCTGCGGTGCGACCTGTCAGAATGTTGTATTTGTTTAGCCTGCACTGGGGTACTCTATAGTGAGCACAACCCAATTTAGGGTTTCCTATATGTATCCTGCTGCTGCTAGTCCAAAGCCCCTCTTTCGTGTATTATCTTTTTGCTTAGGATTCTGACATGCTATCAGAGCAGGTCAACCCTCCCTGTCGATCCTGTGGGTGGGCCCACCCTATGCTTCCACTGCTGTCCTGCCTATCGCGCGCCCCGGGCGCGCGACGTTTTCTTCCTGCCGCACACCCTACGCGCGTGGCGTTTTTTCTTCCCGCCATGCGCTCGGGGCGCGCAGCGGTTTTCTGCCCGCCACGCATTCGGGGCGTGTGGCGGTTTCCTGCCCGCGCGTGCCCCGGGAGCGCGCGGCGGTTTCATCGTCCGTTGTGGCGCCCCGGGGGCCCGCGCACTGTCCCCTCCCATCGCCCGTCATGGCGACCTGGGGGCCTGTGCGTCGCCCCCCCTCCCGTCGCCCGCCGCGGCGCCCTGGGGGCCCGCGCGTCGCCCCCCTCCCGTCGCCTGTCGTGGCGCCTCGGGGGCCCGCGCATCGCCCCCTCTCGTCGCCCATCGTGGCGCCCCGGGGGCCCGTGCGTCGCCCCCTCCCGTCGCCCGTGGAGGCGCCCCGAGGGCCCGCGCATCCCCCCCTCCTGTCGCCCGTCAAGGCGCCCCAGGGACCAGCTCGCCGCCCCGCTTCCGCTCGCCCGCTACCCGCGCTCCTGCCCCGTGCTGCGTGTGATAGGGTTTGAGGGTGGCGAGTCTGGGGGTGTGTGCGCCGTCCCTTGCTCCTCCTCCTCCTCATCCGTCTCCCACTACTGCAGCTGCCGCTGAGGGGGGGTGGGTGTGTGGGAGCCATCGGAGTGGTACTAGGGGGGTGGCGTGTGAGCAGTGCTAGGGGAACAGCAGGGGGTGTGTGAAAGGGGTGTGGGACAGCTGGGGGAGGTTGAGTGGAGGCAGCCGTCTTATCGTCCACAGCACCTGTAGTTTGGGGCTCTTCCGCTGGTAGCCCAGAGAGCCTGCTGTGCCAGTCGCCCGTGGGTCCGTTGCTCCTGCCGCTCGTCTTAGCCGCGGAGCCTATTACTCCTGCAGTCCGGGGCTCTGCCGCCGGTAGCCATAGTGCGCGCCGCTCCTGTTGCTCATGTGTTTGCAGCTTTAGCCGTCGCCTCCCATCTTCTCGCCCCCACAGTCTCTCCTCCTCCTCACTTGCCCTCTGTGATAGCCTCTAGCTTTGCTTATCATTATGAACTATTGCTCTGCCTGCTTATTGTGGGGATTACACCCCACTTTGGCTATGGGGGTGGGTCAGAATGTTGTATTTGTCTAGCCTGCAGTGGGGTACTCTATAGCGAGCACAGCCCAATTTAGGGTTTCTTATATGTATCCTGCTACTGCTAGTCCAAAGCCCCTCTTTTGTGCTCTATCTTTCTGCTTAGGATTCTGGCACGACTAGGTTGGAGCCATCCGGGCAGTCTAGATGGTCCATCGCCACATTCCCCTCCTTGACACCTTTCACCATCTAGTATAGAAATTCCTGCGTGTGCACCAGAACAGTGCGTACCACTTTTGCAGCTGCCACTACCGCCTCCTCTGATTTCGGCGATGCCAGCAGTGCTTTCCACTCCGCCAGGAACGCCTTGCAGGCATTTTTTGCCCACTTAGATGATGCCACACTCCCAAATTCTGCTGTCAGCGTTTTGATATCATTGATGTCTCTACTCCCATCTTCTCTGGTGATGAGCAGGTCCCCCAGCTTGGTTGTCAGGATCTCGGCCGAGCCTGCTGGTTCCCAAAAGGGCTTCCCCCCCCCCTCGGAACATGAGACGCCGATTGAAGCATAACAGCTCACGTTTAGCTTCCCAGCCGTTGGTCGGCTCCGGTAGACCTCCGTTGAAGGCGATTCCCAGAAGACCTCCGCGATCGTCTCCAATTTCTGGCTACCCAGTGCTTGCCAGTGGACTTGCGGGCAAAAAGCGTCGCTATCCCTTCTGGCATTGCCGCCACCTTCTCTGTCGGCCACCTTTTTGTGGCATCCTTCTCCGTCAAGAACTTTCCCACCGTGCAGATCACCTAACTGTCCAGCCGGCATTTCGGGTCAATTAGGCCAGGCAGCATGACGGTTGATTTCTCGCGATTGATGTGCAGGCCTGACAATGCCCCGAACTAGTCTAGAGCCAGTGCAGCTGAGTGTAGTTGGTCCTCACCCCGGAGGATCAGAGAGGTTTCGTCCGCATATCCCACGTACGACACCGTTTCTCCCTCATCCGCCTTGACCCCCAGGTCGCGTCTCTTGATGGCTCTAGGGCGCAGAGAAAAAGGTAGGGTGCTAGCGGGCAACCCTGCCTTACCCCCCTCTGCATCTCCACTTTTTCCCCGAGCCAGCCGTTTATCGCAATCCTCGTTCCTGACCCTTGATGTAAACCCTCCGCCCATCTGACGAATTGCGCAGGCAGGCCAAGCTTCTCCAGTGTTCTAAAGAGGAAGGGTCGTGACACCGTATCCTAGGCCTTCTGAAAGTCCACGAGCAAGAGGTACCAGTCCTCACCGTCGTTCTCCACCACCTCTATCAAATCTGCTACTACCGCCACTGCATCTGCCAGGCTGCGCCCCGGTATGAACCCATGCTGCTCCCTTGAAATGACATGGTGGAGCTCTTGCTTGAGTGTGTTCGCTAACACTTTCGCCAAGACCTTGTAGACTGTAGTGAGTGATGTGATCGGTCTGTAGTTCGTCAACATGTCTCTCTCCCCCTTCTTGTGCAGTAAGACCGTCACCGCCATTGTCAGTGATTCCAGCAACGAGCCCGTCAACTCGAATCTCCTAACAAAGTTTATGAAAACCTCCCCAGGAGGTCCCAGTGGGTCACGAAAAGCTCTGCCGGGATTCCGTCTTGCCCTAGCGACTTACCCTTCGGCAGCCCCTCCAGTGCTGCCTTGACCTCTGGCTCCGTCCATGGAGCCCTGAGCCTGTCAGCCGCCTCCGCCAGCATCACCCTGTCCAGTGCGAAATCATTGCGTGCTGGCTGCGACGTCGCCTGGTCCGCCTTGAAGGCGTACGCAAAATGAGTCGACGTCGCTTTGAGCCCCGCTTGTGACCCACTGTACCGCTCCCCTTTGAACTGAACTTCCTCTATCAGTGTGGGTTCCTTCCTCATCTTCACCTTAGCCGACAAGTATGGCAACGGGACCTCCCCCTGCAGCTCCATCGTGAGACCCACGGAAAATTCTAGCCTCTCCCGCTCGTTCTCACGGTAAGACTCCAATCGTTCTTCCTTGGTCAGTAGCAGCACCTTCATTTCAGCGCCCGTCGGCCCTCCCATGACCAAGTGCCGCATCCGTTCCACCTCCTCTGTAAGGTGTAGCTGTGTTGCTGTCACCCTCTTCCTTTCCTCCTTTTCCTGCGCTTGCAACCAGGGATATCATGCATTCTAGGGAGTCCCTTCCTCTCCTGCTAAGCAACCCCCCGATCGTCTGGATGATCTTCCTCACCACATTTTTTTTATTTCGTGTTGCGTGGAACCTCCAGAGCCTCGGGTCGTACGCATGCGCCAAAGTAAATTTCAGCCGTATCTTGATGGCGAACCAATGATCCGACAGTTTCCTTGGCACCTCCACATGGCGTCCACCCTCTAGGTTGCCAAGCAGTGATGTGGACACCAGGACCCAGTCAATGCGAGACTTCGACTGCGTGGCCTTCACTCTGAAGGTGTACTCCCTGTCCATGGGATGCAGAGCTTGGAAAGCATCGCGGAGATCATGTGCCTGCCACAGATCAAGAAACCGTTGATTCTCCGTCCCCGACCCCACTCCGGACGACTTATCTAGATGAGGTTCAGCTATCATATTGAGTTCCCCCACCACCATCAGGTGCTTCGACGGTGGCTGCGCCTGCAGAAACGTCCCGAGCTCCTCATTATGAAATTTCGCCCTGTTGCATGCCTGCGCCAGAAGGTAAGCCGCGACCACTCCAAAGGGCTCCTCCGTGAAGTGAAGGATTTTGCCCAGTGGTGTTCAGCCACCTCCAGCACGAGCAAGGGGGAGTGTTGATTGTGTAGGTGGTTGTGGTATTTTGCTCTAGCTGGTTGTGGGCTAAGGGTTTGGGCGAAATGTAGTGGTTAGACTTGTTGCGGGCTGGAATTGATGCCGCACCCAACATGCACCAACAAAGCTTTGCTATTCACTACAACATCTTTGGTGTTGCTAGTTTAGCACTTTGGGTGGTTGAGGATTGTTGAAAGGCGAGGGTTAGGTTGGTAGGGTTTGAAAAACTCGTCACTTTTCAGATCTGATCTCTTGCTAAAGCTAGTCTCTTGATCTAATCCATGGCTGCCTATTAATTCCGCCAGAATGCACCGTCACACTTAAATCGCGATAGCGATCAGCCTAGATCTTGGTTGAAAGCGTGCGTTACCATTCTGGAAATTAGAGATTAAGACCTTTCCAACGCGTACCTGCTCATAGTTTAAAGTTACGTGAGCTGCACGCAATATTCCGTCGAAGTCGGCGGACTTAATCTCTTGTACGCTCTCCAGATTTGCTCGCTTTCCATCAGTGGTATCAGAGCTGGTTAGGCCTGCGCCATTCCCTCCTATTATCATATTTCAATTTGGCTTAAGAACCTCCAGATCTAGGGTTGGTTATGGCCCAGAAATTAGATGGCCCTCTTAGGTTCACCGGCTCGGATATTTTGCTATGGCGGTTCCAATTTACGCTTTGGCTAGGTATTAAAGACCTAGAGGGCGTATTGGAGGGATCGGAGCGAAGACCTGAAGCTGATGAAGGAAAGGCATCTACTGGAGTCTCTAGCCAAGTGGGAGAAGGGGCTGGGGGAGCCTCTAGCTCATCCATAACTGAGGGAAGTGGAGGTGGATCGGCAGCACCGCGAACCGGAAGGCAACGGCTTGGTGTGGAGGAGCTTATCAAGGCACAGGAAGCATGGGACCGCAAGGACAAGCAAGCGTTCCAGTACCTATGTTGGGCCTTAGAAGGCCAATTAGAGCTCCTAAAGATGCTGATTGATCTGAAGGGGAAGTAAGGAGCAGCTGCCCAAGCATGGAAGAGAGTTCAAGATCGCCATTTGCAAAAGGGACTGCAAAGCGGTTTTACACCATGGAACGCAACTATGGTGATGGGGAGACCATGGTGCACTATCTCCAGAGGGTGGATGAGTATGTGAGAGCCTTAGAGGAGTTGAACTATACTGTAGATGAGAAGGATATCATCTATACCGCACTCCAGGGGCTGGACCAAGAGGCGAATGAGGCCCTAATGCAGTACCTTCACCTTGAGCAACAGAAATGGACCAAGGCCGGGATATGGGAGGTGTTGGTCTCTGATGAGGCTCGCAAATCTGATGCTGGTAGAGGATTTGAAGGGGGGATGGGGGCAGGGGATAGGGCTGCCTCCAAGAAATACCAGCAGCGGCAAGGAGGTGGGGGGAAGAAGAAAGATCTCGACAAGTGCCTCGTCCCTGGATGCTACTGGAAGCACTCTTAAAAGGAGTGTTGGAGCCGACCAGATGGGTGGAAGCCTCAAGGGTACCCAGGAGAGGCTCCACCTATCACTAGGCCTGAGTGGGTGGAGAGGAGGATGAAGAATGGAGCATGGAACAAGAAGGGCAGCAAAGAGAAAGTGGCAGCAGCGGCGGCAAACAAGGATAAGAAGGGAAAAGAGGACTCATCGGATGATGGTTTCTCCTTCTTATCCTTGGAGATCGAGACGGCGCTTGCTGGTCGTACGTTGGCTGACCCCAATCAGCTCATTCTGGACTCTGGAGCAACCTGTGGAATGGTACTTCGACGCGGCCTCTTCACCACCTATCACTCCCTCCCACCTTACTCCAGAAATGTGATTGTGGGGAGCGGAGATGCGCTACAAGCAATCGGCATCGGCACCATCACCGTCAAGGGGAAGGACAGGGAGGTTCTGAATGTGAAGGGTGTGCTTCATGTTCCTGAATTGGCAGCCTACCTTCTCTCATGCTCTCAGCTTGCGAGGCAAGAATACATATGCACCTTCACCATGGAAGGTGGCACGGTTCGCAAGGGTGGAGCTGTGGTGATGGAGGCCAAATTAGAGAAGGGTCGTTCCAGTTTGTGTGCCTCAGGTGGAGAGGGCACATGGTGTTGAAGCCGAGGATGCCACCTGTAGCACCCGTTGGAGGGATGTGGAGCACGTGATGGCAGATTTGCTGCACCTACGCATGGGGCATGCAGGAAGGCAGCAACTTGTGGAGTGTGTGAAGTAGGGGGAGCTGAAGAGTGTGGACATCTAGGAGGGTGGTGGGCAGCCAAGCAAGTGCCCTGATTGCACTACCAGGAAGCTGCCAAGGACCTCTTTCCCTACCTCCACCACTAGAGCCTCTGCAACTCTTGAGTTGGTGCACACGGATGTGTGTGGCCCTATGCAAACACCGGATAGGGAGAAGGGCAGCAAATACTTTATCACATTCCTGGATGACTACAACCGCCTCAGCTGGATCACCTTGGTGAAAACCAAGGATGAGGTGGCAAAGGTGTTTAAGCGTTGGATACGCTATGCGGAGAGGGAAGCCGGGGCCAAGGTGAAGATACTAAGGTCTGATCAGGGTGGGAAGTACATGGGGAAGGACCTGGAGACCTTCCTTGAAGATAAGGGGATTACCCAACAGCTTTTAGTAGCCTACACGCCGCAGCAAAATGGGGCAGCGGAGCGGCTTAACCGGACCCTCATTGACCTTGCCCGAGCCATGCTTGCTCATGCGCAGCTGGACCATACTTGGTGAGGCAGTGCAATATGCCAACTGGGTTAAGAACAGAATGGGCAGCAAGAGGCTAGGGGGCAAGAGACCTTACTTCATGTGGACCAGGAAGGTGCCTAGTGTGTCCATGGTACGAGTGTGGGGGTGCATGGGGCAGTACAAAGTGCCCGACCAGCAACGGAGGAAGCTGGATCCTACGGCATAATGGGGCATTTTTCTTGGGGTGTCGGAGAGGAGCAAAGTTTGGATGTTGTGGAGTGTGGCAGATCAGCAGGTGGTGGAAAGCAGGGATGTGGTTTTCCACGAGGGGCTGAGCTACAAGGGGTGGAAGGAGCATGGTGCTAGTACAGTTGGGAGCTCCCTCCAGGATCCCTACACCTCCTCCATCTTTGAGGGGGCATGGGAGGACCCTGGAGAGGAGGTAGAGGAGCAGCCAGAGGAACAAAAGGCAGCTGCACCTCACCATGAGGAGTCACCAACTGCTGGTTCTACCCCTGACCCTAACGCACCAGCCCATGACCCGAAGCTTCAACAAGGGCAGCAGCAACAACAAGAGAAGCCGCAGCAACCACCACAGGAGCATAAACCACCTGTTCCTGTGGGTAGGTGGCAGCAACTACTGCAGCAGCAGCTGTCCAAGTCACCATGGTCCCCCATGAAGAGAGTGCCTTTGGAAGGAGAAGCTGCAAAGTTTGGAGCAGGGGGATGCATCACCTCTGCGCCGCACCACACGCATCTCCCGGCCACCTGAAAGGTTCACACCAAGTGCACAGTATGCTTGCATGCATGATCATGAGGTGCATGGTCTGGAGGAGCGCATGCTTGTGGATGCTGAGGGATGCTGAGGGGGGTGAGCTTGGGCTTGATTTCTGTCTCATGGGTCAGGTGCATGAGCCTAAGTCGGTCTAGGAGGCCTTGTCCCGTCCTGAGTGGGTCAAGTCGATGCGTGAGGAGCTTGAGTCTCATAGGGTGAACGAATCTTTTCAGCTGGTTGATCCAGCTTGTGTGCCACCTGGAATGGAGGTCTTGAGGTGTCAGTGGGTGTGGAAGTATAAGCACATGGCTGATGGGAGTATTGAGAGGCCTAAGTCCTGGTTGGTGGCCATGGGGAACACTCAAACACGAGGCGTTCACTATGACCAGGTATATACCCTGGTGGGTAAACCTACCACCCTGAGAGGTTCCCTTGGGATGGCAGCATCCTCGGGGTCTCACATCCATCACATGGATATGACCACTGCCTTTCTTCATGGGGTCTCGAAGGAGGAGATTTACATGAGGCAGCCACCTGGTTTTGATGATGGGTCCGGCAAGGTTTGCTGACCCAGGAAATCAATCTACGGGCTAAAGCAAGCTCGAAGGCAATGGTACCTCAAGTTTGATGAGGTGCTGATGGACTTTGGGTTTGAGAGGTCGGAGTGTGACCCCGCCTTGTACCACTTGGTGAGGCATGAGGGCAGGCTGTCCCTCTACCTCTATGTGGATGACATTCTGCTCATGTCTTCGAGCATGGTCTTGCTGGACGAGGTGAAGGGTCTCTTGTCCTCTCGTTTCCGC